CTTGGCTCTTTCCACAGTTTGGCTATTGTGGACATTGCTGCTATAAACATCGGGGTGCACATACCCCTTCAGATCCCTACATTTGTATCTTTGGGGTAAATACCCAGTAGTGCAATTGCTGGATTGTATGATAGCTCTTATTTTCAACTTTTTGAGGAGCCTCCATACTGTTTTCCAGAGTGGCTGCACCAGCTTGCATTCCCACCAACAGTGTAGGAGGGTTCCCCTTTCTCCGCATCCCCGCCAACATCTGTCGTTTCCTGACTTGTTAATTTTAGCCATTCTGACTGGTATGAGGTGGTATCTCATTGAGGTTTCGATTTGGATTTCCCTGATGCTGAGCAATGTTGAGTACTTTTTCATGTGTCTGTTGGCCATTTGGATGTCTTTGGAAAAACGTCTGTTCATGTCTTCTGCCCATTTCTTAAATGGATCATTTGTTCTTTGGGTGTTGAGTTTGATAAGTTCTTTTTAGATTTTGGATACTAGCCCTTTATCTGATATGTCATTTACAAATATGTCCTCCCATTCTGTTGGTTGTCTTTTGGTTTCGTTGACTGTTTCTTTTGCTTTGCAAAAGCTTTTTATCTTGATGAAGTCCCAATAGTTCACTTTTGCCCTTGCTTCGCTTGCCTTTGGCGATGTTTCTAGGAAGAAGTTGCTGTGGCTGAGGTCGAAGAGGTTGCTGCCTGTGTTCTCCTTTAGGATTTTGATGGACTCCTGTCTCACATTTAGGTCTTTCAACCATTTGGAGTCTATTTTTGTGTGTGGTGTAAGGAAATGGTCCAGTTTCATTTTTCCACATGTGGTTGTCCAATTTTCCCAACACCATTTGTTGAAGAGACTGTCTTTTTTCCATTGGACATTCTTTCCTGCTTTGCAAGAATTAGTTGACCATAGAGTTGAGGGTCCATTTCTGGGCTCTCTATTCTGTTCCATTGATCTATGTGTCTGTTTTTGTGCCAGTACCATACTGTCTTGATGAATGTTTTTATGTTATCTTCATTTTTGAAAGGCAGCAGTTTTGCAGAATAGAGGATTCTTGGTTGACAGCTTTTTCTTTGATCACTTAAGTGTTACCCAACTGCCGCTGGCCTCCATTAATTCTGCTGAGAAGTTACTTGCTGACCTATCCGGGGTTCTGTGGTAAGCGATGAGTCATCTTTCTCTTGATGCCTTAAAGATTTTCTCCTCGCCTTTGACCTTCAGCATTTTTACCATGATGAATCTCATTGTGGAAATTTTTGAGTTTGTCCTCTTTGGAATTAGCTGAACTTCCTGAATGTATAGGCTACTGTTCGTTAATAAATTTGGGAAATTTTCAGCCATTATTTCTTCAAATATTTTTTTCTGCTCTTTTCTGCCCTCTTCTGGCATTATATGTATGATGGTGCACTAATGGTATCCCACATTTCTCTAAAGCTCCCTTTGTTTTTCTTTTTTTTTTCAGACTGCATAATCTCCAGTCATCTATCTTCAAGTTTGCTAATTCTTTCTTCTGCCAATTCAAATCCACTAATGACCCCTCTAGTGAATTTTTCAGTTCAGCTCTTGTACTTTTTAACTGCATAATCTCCATTTGGTTCTTTTTTATAATTTGTCTCTTTACTGATATTCTTTATTTGATGTGACAGTGTCATCATACCTTCCTTTATTTTGTTAATCATGCTTTTCTTGAGTTCTTTGAACATACTTATAATGGCTACTTTGAAGTCGTTGCCTATTAAATCCAGGATCTGATTGCTCTCACTGGCAGTTTCTGTTGCCTGCTTTTTTTCCCCAGTATATGTATCATACTTCTGTTTCTTTGCATGTCTTGCGACTTTTTTGTTGTTGAAAGTTGGGCATTTTTTAGTGAAATCTACTTCTCCTCCTCTCCGCCTCCCTCCAGTGTGAAGCCTCTAACATTGCCCCAAGCTCGTATAACCTTGGGTATTCCCCCAGTCTCCATTCGAAGACAGTGGTTTTGACAGGGCTCCCTTTGTCCCTTTCTCTAACCACACTCAGCTGTGAAGCTCCAGTAATCAAAGCTGATTACTCTATTGTTTTATAATGCCCGGGGGGAATAAACTGCATTGATCTAATCAAGTTTGGGCTTTTCTAAAGGGACAATTTCTGTGGGCAGTGTTTGGGATTTGTTCTGATCCAAGGGCTCTTTCCAGCTGTCTCTTTCACCATTTTCTCACCAAACTAGACTGTTTATAGATCAGCCTATATACCCAATGACTCCATTATTCTCCTACCTATTGCCTATCACCACAAACTCCACTGTTTTTGACAGCACCCTTAGGCTTGAACTTTTTCGCACTGATTTGCAAATGAAGTCGGTTCCTTTGGGAGAGATTCAGGAGTTCTCTGTTCTTGGGTCTGCTTCTCCTCTCTCCACCTCTACCAGGCAAAAGCTCAGAGGTATGGCTCTGGTGTTGGGGACAGGTACAATGGTGCCCACATTTGTTGAGTGACATACCCACTATAGGAGCTGAGTACTTGTGGAAGGAAAGGCAGCAGACCCAGGCATCCTCAACTTGCTTCACGTGGCAGGGAATTCACACCTTTAAGCTGTGGCAAGGATGACCGGTGCCTGGGTGCCCAGTAAAAGAATTGAGCCCCCACTTCTCAGCCACACTTGCCTGGAATATAACCTTAGTGTAGCTTGGGGGCAGGATGAGAAATATTGATATCCTGCCTCTCACAGGATGATAGCCCTCCTACTGGGAGCTGGGGAGAAAGAAACCCCTATGTTCTTGGATCTACCAGTCTGGAGTAGAGTTTCTGTCTTACTGAGCTGGGAGTAGTGAAGAAGGGAGTGGTCTTGGTTCAAACACCACACAGACTTCTGCTGCTTTACCAAGTTTTAGTAGATTTTCTTAAATAAATGTTTCTCCATTTGCTATGTACCCTTAGGACTATTTTCAGAGAATTTAAATGTTTCTTTTAAAATAATTTCCACTGGTTTTACTGGGGAGTAGGTCAGCAGAGCTCCCTATGTTATCAGGTCAGAAGTGGAACTCTTTTAAGCTCTTGAGGACAGGTTTTTGAGTGGACAGTATGCTTAAAATGCTCTTGGGCATTTACCTAGGAATGGCCTTGCTGAGTCATTTAGTAACACTAACTTTCTGTGATTTTACAGATTATTCCTTTAAACATTGAGACTACAAGGAGAGCAAGAATTTTCTCTCAGCCACGCACACAAATCTGTTTAATATTGCTTCCTCAGCTTATGAAGACAGCAATGCGGAGATAGGCAATTCTGTAGTCTACCCATCTGGAACATGTGATGCCCTCACCAGCTAGATGTGAGCAGCAAAATTCACCTTCCACACCCTGTCCTCCTTCCTGATAAATATTACTATCACCAAAACAAGAGGCTAGCTAAAATTTTATACTGTCTGCTCCGTCTCAACAAATTTTGTCTTGTACGCCACAACAGGCTTTCACTGAAAGTATGCATAAGTTTTCAATGAGGACAAAATTTCTAAAGAAGACTCTGGGGTCCATCTGGGTATTTTTCAGTGCAGAGATGCTACTATCAGGTAAGGGCATTCTATATTAACACACCAAAACATTTTTTTGTAAAACCAAACTTGGGAGCAGAAAAACAAAAACCAACCAACCATTTTAATTATTAAAATAAATACACATTTAAACAAAATATGCATAGATTTTGAGATAAAACAGAACATTTCAAAGAGCTACTGGAGCTGTCAGCTACCACTCTGGGTGCTGCCCTCAGATTCTTCAGGATACTCGCTGCACTCACTTATCACAGCAGTTAGAAGTACTTAGGTGGAAGCACTCGAGAAGCCCTACCCTGAACAATCACCTTATAATGATAACACACACACACTCACACACAGCATCCTATTTACATTAAAAACTCCTTCAGGAGAGAACTATGGCTACTCTTCTGCATATTCTCAATAAGCTTATTAAAGCATGCTACTCACAGTGGGGATGAAATAAATGATATTTTAAAGAATCGCCAGCAGTAAGGCTGATGAGACTGACAACAAAAGGACGAGGATCAGAGGATCCTTACAGGTCTGCCTGTGAAATCAGCGTAGGTGTTCTCGCAGGAACCTGAACAGAAGCGCTTGCGCTGACCCCTCACCACATGGTGTGTAACAGGTTGATTTAATACTGCAGTCAGATTAAACAAATACTCTTTAAAAGGTTAACGAGTCCAATCAGAGGAAGGAGCCCTTAAATAAACTGTTTGCCTTGGGGGAAAAAACAAAACAGAAATAAACTACACTGAAACATGTCAGTGTTTAACCATTTTATCATGCCCACCCTCAGCAACCCACTGTTTTTTAGCCACAATATGTAGAAACTGATATTACATAAAGAAAACTATAACAACACAGATTCAAACTAACCTTGGGGTTCATTGACCAACATCAAGCATTTTAAGACGCCAGGGAGGAGAAGCTGAACCTCAGAAATCTCTACGCTAGTGTCTTTGAAGAGCTGCAGGACAAAGGCCAGAATAGAGGCTAAGCGAGGAGGGAGCAAGGACCCTTTACACTCCAAGTAGGACTTCCTAAAAAGAAGCACAATTTTGTTTTTTCTTCTAGTTAAAGTTTCAATGAACAGACTCAAATGTCATACACTTTAAAGATACTGACAAATTTTACCTCCCAAATTAATAAAGCACAATTAAAATAGTGTATTTTACCATGCTATCCTCAAGCAAAAAAATTTAGAAGCAATGACTGCACATCTTTGCTGTGTTATAAGGGCCAAAGCAGAATAAAGACACAATCAAAATTTAAAACAACCTGATCTTTAAATGAACTTAATCAAAACCCAAATGAAAACCTAATTGTTAATTTTTTTTCCCTTTCTAATATGAGCCCGATTTCCTCTATCAGCTCCTCAACAATGCAACATTTTCTTTAATGTCAAATTTGCATAAAGAAATCTCTCCTCACATTTATTTATTTAGGGATTTGGGAAGGGTCTTATTTTTCCAAATCAATAAGAGGACTGTCCTAAGAATTAGCTTCCCATTCCAGCTTTACCTCTTTCTTTCTCTTAAGAAATAAAAAAAATCAAAGGTAATTTAGGATTTAATATTTTCTCTCAAAGCAAAACAAATTTTAGCATTATAAGTCAACAGAGATCATAAAGATAATTTATCCTACTCATTTTTATCTCTCTACCTCTTAAGCAGGTGTTGGCTCATAATAGGTATTCAGTAGATATTTAAGTGAATAAATGAAAGTGGGAATTGCTCAGTTTCTAAAAGGTCTAAGCAACATGAAAAATTGTCAAGTATAGCTAAATCTACGCTAGACATCCATATGTACTTGCAAAGCAATAAAATTTGCCAAAATGAGCCATGGAAATCACTAAGGATTATAAAGTCTTTAAGGGCAGGAACTATGTCTTCATCATCATTTCTACTCCATACAGTGGCTTCCAACAAATACTCCATTTTAGTAGATTCATTCAATCTTTGAGGACAAGGGTTTTGTCTTTTTGGTTCACCGTTGAATTCCTAGACTAAACATTTGTTATGCACCTGCAGTATATCAGGTGCACGTGTAAGAATGAAATGGTAAATACGGTCTCTGAGGCAGGGGCTCACTGTCTAGTGGAAAAGTCGGACAAGCAAAAAAAATAAATAAATAAAAAGGCTATTATAATATCATGGGATAGGTGCTTTGAAAATAACCCCAGAATTCTCAGGGATTCAGAGGAAGGAGCCTCAACAAAGATGGGGAACTGCAGGAGGGGAGAAGCATGGAATGGAAGGATATTGTGGGTTTGGTTGCAGATCACTATAATAAAGCAAATGTCACAATCAAGTGAAATGGATTTTTTGGTTTCTCAGTGCATATCAAACCTATGTTTATACTCTGTTGTAGTCTATTAAGTGTGCAACAGCATGATGTCTAAAAAAAACCAATGTATACACCTTAACTTAAAAATACTTTATTGTTAAAAAAACCTGCTAACCACCATTTGAGCTTTCAGCCAGTTGTAATCACCGATTACAGATCACCATGACCAATATGATAGTTACAAAAAAGTCTGAAATATTGTGAGAACTACCAAAATGTAACACAGAGACATGAGGTGAACAAATAGTGTTGGAAAAATGATGCCAACAGACTTGCTGGATGAAGGACTGCCACAAACTTCCAATTTGTAAAAAACAGTATCTGTGAAGTACAATAAAACAAGGTATGCCTGTATATCGCCGTAGCATCTTGAAGTTTAAAAACTAATTTCATATGAAGCCAGATACTCCATGAAGACAAAGAAAAAAATAACTTCTATTACTGAATCTATTGTTGCTGTTAAAAGGTAACAGAGAACCTAACGGGTTGCATTTATGCATCTAATAATAAAATGAAAGTTATTAAGACAGAGAGGAGACCAACAAAACAGGACTTCTTAGTCCTTCCTTTTTCATATTAGCATTCATTTTTTCACTTAGTTGTTCTCTTTTAAAAATATAAATAATGTGTTTTCTATAGTAGAAAATACACTTACTGTTGATCTGATAAGAACTAAGAAAATATGTATCTTTAGGACATGTATAAGGAAAATAATAGCTATGTAGAGAAAACAATTTAAAGAGCATTGACTCAGGCTGTCATGAGCAAAAGTCATTTTAGTAAATTCTTAGAGACGATGTTTCTCAGGAAAAATGAAAGTTTCTAAACTACCAGCATCCCAAGGGTTGCCAATACTTTGGGATGCTTTGTTACTTTAAATAAAGATTAATACATTGTAAATACCACTTGTTTTTAATATTTAGATGTACCTTATGACTTGTACGATGCATTTCTTTAGAGGTGCTATCAGTGGAACAGCGGCGGAGTTTCTCAATGCCAACAAAACAGGGTGTTGTACGAGACCCGAAACATGCGGGGACGATGGAAGAAACCGCCCAATGTACTGCTCAATAACACTCCCTAGTAATTGGTTCAAATAGGCATTTGGATTTTGGGACTGACCACATACGATACACATGCCCTACAGGAGAAAAAAGAAAAGAAATAGTAAAAGACAAAGTTAAAAAAAAAAAATATATCAAGGAACTTATTTAGTCCCTAGCATTAGTATTTATGTCAGAATGTGTCACCCATAATCAACAAAGACACAGCCCAACATCAACAGACGATGTGAATATGAGGCTCAGGGAGTTGCTGAGCTTGGGTGAGATCCATGGGGTGGTATCTAACCAAACATGCGTGCCTTTGGGGTGTGCGCAAATGAAGCAGGGGAGAAGTGCAAGAAGACAAAGGAAGCTTCCTTCTTCCTCTCACATCCAGAGAACGTGACCACCACACTCATCAACTACATTTGTGTGTAATTTCAAAGTAATAAAATACATTTTTAAGTCAGTTTTTTTATGTAGGTACTGGTCATTTATCTGAGCGACACTACAGAATTTATACTAAAAATCTCCCATGGTAAGAAATGCGATAAATTAAAAGAAAAATTGACAGGGGAGAAATACAGAAGAGTACAACTCTGATTAATGACTATTTTAAGATTTCATGTGTCAGGCACTGTGCCATATGCTTTATATCCTTTACTTCATTTAAATTTCTCAAAAGAACAATGAGTTGGTTATTATCACATCTCCGATTTCATAGCTAGGGAAACTGAGGTTTAGAGAACTTAAGAGTTCTGTTGATTTAATCCCTTCCATTTGTATAGAAATTAACAAAGTTAACAAAATAATTCCATGTGGATTACAGTATTTGATACCTACAAATAATGAAACCAACACCCTGAGAAATATTTTTTCTGCCATTGTTACTAAATACTGCATATTAATAAAATACAATCACCAAGACAATGACAAATTATGTGTTAAAAGTTCATTTATAATTTGGTACTTTGCAATTAGCAACTAGAGAAATAATTAGAAATGTTTATGTATCCATTTTAGCTGTAAATGAAAGATTATTTGTAATAAAAGTAGCATACAGCTGCTGACACTATCAAACAACTGGAAAAAAAAAGCAATGAATACCTTTCTAAACAGTTTCTTCAATGTTTTTGTTTAAAACAAAGCACATTATTAGATGATGAAGTAATACATGGATATGTTCAGAAAACTCTGAAGAGGAAAGCTGAGTACCTTTAATAAATGAAAGGTATAGCTCTATAAGTCTGCCAAATGGATAAATTCACCAAAATTTTCAATTAACCACTTATGAAGTATTACAAGAATTTTTTTTTTTTTTTTTTTAATTAGGCTCCCTCCACACCCAACATGGGGCTTAAACTCATGACCTTGAGATCAAGAGTCCCATGCTCTACCGACTGAGCCAGCCAAGAACCCCTAATATGAATTCTTGTTGTACTATTTTGGCTTAAGAGGGCCACAGAGCACACGTTTTTCAGACTCTCCTGCTGCCCAAGATTCCTTCCCATCCATATTCCCTGATTGGCAATACTTTATCTTTCTGCCAGCAGACACACTAAACTTTATTATGTTATGTTATTACCAATACAAAATTAAAAAGCCAACTTAAAATTTCTTAGAAACTGTAAAAATCTGTTTAAAAAAATCCACCTGTGGAAAAGACTGCTTATTACCTAATCACATTCTGTTCTCCTTTTCTTCCTCAAGTTTCCCTTGTTGAACCCCATATTAAGAAGCACTTACCTTCAGTATGAGACACCAATGAATAACAAAGCTTCCAAGCCTGTGCTTTCCCCTGAATGACAGATCAATATTTCCAAGTGCCTACCTAGATACTGCATAGCACCTCAAACGAAAGCTGTTCAGAAATCAATTATTACCTGTATCCCCACATCTCCAGAATTGCCCATGTTAGCAACACTACGATCTACATAAGCAGCCACTCTGGAATCTAGGAAGTATTCCATTTCTTTCTGTTTCTCCACAGCATTCACTCAGCAAGTATTTTTAATCAGACTTCCTAAATGTTTCTGCAGTCTGCTGTGCAAGTTCTATACCCACTGGCTTCGTTCAAAACCTTCAGATAATGAACTATTCACTGCCTTCCAAGTCTCCAATGTAACGCCCACACCAACCATCTTAGATGTTGCCACCAGCATCACCTTTCCTTTTTAAATTTTTTATTGTTATGTTAATCACCATACATTACATCATTAGTTTTTGATGTAGTGTTCCATGATTCACTGTTTGCCTATAACACCCAGTGCTCCATTCAGTACATACCTCCTTAATACCCATCACCAGGCTAATCCATCCCCCCACGCCCTCCCCTCTAGAACCCTCAGTTTGTTTCTCAGAGTCCATAGTCTCTCATGGTTCATCTCCCCCTCTGATTCCCCCCCTTCATTTTTCCCTTCCTACTATCTTCTTCTATTTTTTTTTTTAACATATAATGTATTATTTGTTTCAGAGGCACAGGTCTGTGATTCAACAGTCTTACACAATTCACAGCGCTCAACATAGCACATACCCTCCCCAATGTCTTATCACCTGGCCAGCATCACCTTTCTAACATGTAAATAGGATATGTCACTCCCACTCCCCTATTCAAAATTCATCAAAAATCCATCAACAATGCATTCAACAATGTAAAAGAACAAGTGCAGATTTCCTAGTGTGGCACATGGAAACTTCTAGATGAATGTCCAACCACAATCGAATTCTTTGCTCTTCCCCAGCGTGCCATACCTTCTTAAAGCTCATTCCTTTTACCTACTGTTCCTTCTGACAGGACTGGTCCTTCAACTCTTACCCACTCTGCTCCTTTACAACTCGTCTCCTTTATGGTATCTTCTCTCCCAACTCTTCATCACTGTCTGCCTGGCAGACAGCTGAGGCCTCTAAGGCAACAGGGAGCACACTACTGTGTCTATGCTAGTCAGCCTCCTGTCTCAACTTTAATTGCTTCTTGGGAGACTGTGCCTCTTCCATCTTTGTTTTCACGGCCAAACACAAGAGGAATTTAAAACTTGTTCAACAGAAGTGCCACATGTACACACATAACCTTGAGATGACAATGGATGGTTTTCAAATATGCAGTTAGGATACTGTTTTAAGGCAAAGTTCCATTTTTTTCTTTTACACTTGCAAGCAGCCACACTCACTATACCTGGAGATACAAAGGAAGACTCTTTTGGATTGCAGTCAGCATAGGTGCAGGCAGCTCTCTCTCTGGCTGTAGCACGGTGTGTGGCAGCAGTAAACAATCAATGATCCGGAAGAGGAGTTTTTGCGCTTTTGAGGTGGCAAAGATCTGTGCCCATGATTTAACGAGAATTCCTGACAAAGAGGAGTAACAGCAGGTATGGTTACCTTCTAACCAGAAAGTTCTGCCATTCCACCATAAAATTTATATTTAAAGCACACAGGACTAAGTTAAAGTAGGCAATAGAGAGAAACTCGTATTAGAAGTCAAAAGACTGATGTCACGCCATATATTTCACTAAAGAGACAAATTTCTCTCAGAATTGTGGGCTAAGAAAAACGTACATTTCCTAAGCAATTGGCATTTAATACATATACGCTCAAACATATCATGTGATTTGGCTATACATTATGTGAATATCACATAATGTGATCACAATACTGATGACATATCGTAATTAATCAGATCTCTTTTCTTGCTTTGGCTGCTAGGAAACTCAGAGGTGAATTTATAACCCAACTTTAAGAACTCTAGAAGACCATGCATTATGCTTTTATGTGTGTGCTCACTCTTCCTGGGCTTCAGCAAGCTACTACTCCACATTTACTTTTTTGATACCTTTATCTTACATAAAGTTTTATAGGCTGTTTCAACCCAGTTTGCAACACAAAAAGATATAATGAAATTTAATTTAAAGTAGGAAAAAAGGATTAACTGTAACCTTGAAGCAATCACTTAACCTCTCTGCATTTCACTTTTTGTAACTTTCATTTGTTTAATATACACAGTGAGTTTCAATTTTGATCCTGAAAGAAGAGAAGCAGACATCTTCACTACATGAAATATATTATGTTTTCCTTCATGTTCGGAGTCAGTTGCTATATTTGAAGAGAGTGGAGCTAAAAATGAGCACCCTTTGTTTAGTAAAGTAATTAAGAGCAGATACCCTGTTCCCATTAGAGTCTATTTCTGCAACTGAGGTCTTCTTTATTGAAACAACGAATTTAAAAAGAGATCATTAAGCACTTGCCCAAATGGCACAGTGGTACCTGTACTGCATGAACTTTTGTATTTTATTCCATCTTAGAATGCAGAAGAGATGATAAAATTCAAAGCCATTTCCATAGAACAAAAAGTTTAAAATTCAAGCTCTGAAGGAAAACAAAAATATGCTTATAGAAGAGTATACTGATGTTAAAAGAAAAAGCCCAACCAATAATCACTTCTAAGAACAACAAACAGCAACATTAATCTTCTGTTGTAAAAGGAAATACAATAATCAATCATAAAGAAACACAATGCTCACTTGGCAGTATTTTAAATAACGGTGGCTTGCTCCTCATTTTTCCAGTAGGTGGAAAACTGGTGAATGACAGCAATGTAAGAAGAACTCACATCCTAACTAACATTAATGTACCCGTAAAGGGAACTGCCATCACCACTGACATTTGAAATGATTCATATCAGTCTTAGGTGTCACACAGGAATGGACTTATAAAGAGCAAGGGCCTTCCAACCAAAAATGCTATCATCTACCCTTGTATTTCATCTTTGCAATGGTTACAACACTTCTGAAGATCTTAAAGTTTTAGGAGTTCATAGAAGGCAGAGGCAATCCATTTGTTTCATTGCCAAATCAGAACCCTAATTTTTTTTTTTAAAGATTTGAGGGGGGGAAGGGGAAGAGAGAGAGAAAGAGAGAAGGAGATAGCGTGAGCATGTGTGCAAGCACAGGGTGAGGGGGCAGACGGAGAGAGAGAATCTCAAGCAGACTCCTTGCTGAGTGTGGAGCCTGATGTGGGGCTCAATCCCAAGACCCTGAGATCATGACCTGAACTGAAATTAAGAGTCAGATGCTCAACTGACTGAGCCACCCAGGTGCTTCCAGAACCCTAGTTTTTTAAGTTTCAATGAAGAACATTTAAGTGTGTGGTATTAAAAACGCAAAGACAGGGGCGCCTAGGTGGCTCAGTTGGTTGGGCGTCTGCCTGCAGCTCAGGTCATGATCCCAGGGTCCTGGGATCAAGCCCCACATTGAGCTCTCTGCTCAGCAGGGAGTCTGCTTCTCCCTCTCCCTCTGCCCCTCCACCTGCTTGTGCTCTCTCTCAAATAAATAAACAAATCTTTAAAAAAATGCAAAGAGAAAGAAATTTTTTAAGTAAAAAACTTTGAGAAAGGTTTAAATACATAGTATAGCTTTCTAAAAAAACCATCTTTTTCCTGGCTACAAAGAAATTGCTTATGTAACTGATGATGCTGAAAATATAGAAAATTGTGGGGAACATACTTGTACAACTGGAAGAGAACCGTACTATAAGAGTTCTCATGTGTTTACTTATCTTCTATTCTATGCATATACCATGCCTTAAAAAGAAAAAGAGGAGGATTGGGATCATTACAATAGGCTTTTAAAAATGTACTTATAGTTAGAAAGTAACTTTGCTCATTTAAGAATGTTAAAAGATACATTATGTACTATTTTTTTTTAAAAAGATTTTATTTATTTATTTGACAGAGAGAGACACAGCGAGAGAGGGAACATAAGCAGGGGGAGTGGGAGAGGGAGAAGCAGGCTTCCCGCGGAGCAGAGAGCCTGATGCGGGGCTGGATCCCAGGACCCTGGGACCATGACCTGAGCCGAAGGCAGACGCTTAATGACTGAGCCACCCAGGTGCCCCGATACATTATGTACTATTAGCTAGGTTTATAAAATCATTATATTCCAGAAACATTTATTTAGTATATGATATCTTCCACATTGGTGAAGCTCTTCAACTGATGTATCCCCAGTTCCCAATGCAGGTTGAATATCTAACTCAGGAAACATTTTTATTTGTTCAAAATACAACATGACAACAGGAATAGGAAGTTCAAAAGATATGGCCACTATCATGAGTGAGTTTAAAATTTAGTAGGGGCATGCCAAGTACACAAATAATTATAAAAGCTGGCAAGCTATGAAAAATGTCATAAGAGATGGACAGATGAAGCATAATCAAGGAGACCAAGTCTACCTGGGAGCGTGGAATATTTGGGTTGGGCACTGAGGGTCATGGGTAGAATTTCAATTACAAAGACAAAGGAAGAATGACTGAAGAGAGAATGACCAACAGAAAAAACATGGGATGGAAAAATAAGAGATACAAATAGAAAAACCACAAAAAATGATATAAAGAGGAGGAAAGTTGAAGATACTACTCATCAGTCAATCCTTTCTCAGAAATTACTGAGTTACAATTAAGACCCCAGAAGCCTTAATCTTAAGTGTGACTTTATGAATGTTTGCACCTTTCACTAGCACTCTTGTAAGGAGACAACAGAGGTATCCCCAGTTAGGAACTGGCCAGGTAAATAAAACAGTTTTTCTGTGGTTAATTCTTTCCCTCAAGTGAATATGATATCCCCAACCCATACACTTAAAGAAGGTCTGAACCCTCAAAAGTTTATACTTGCTCTTCCTCCGTTTTGTTCTGAGCCTTTTACATACAGAAGACAATAAATTATCTGTTCTTAATTTTTAACGCATAAATGAGGAACATTGTACCAGTATATTCTATTCCCAGTCTCTGAGATTTAGACAAAAGGAAAGAATACAGATCTACCTTCCAGGAACTCAAAACTCAACCATGTAACAAAACAAAGAAGGTCCTCAATCTTCATAAAGAGAATTTTATCCTGGGTCTACATATCACCAATCTGAATATGATTTTGGAGTTATGACTATCATATATTTTATAAAATAAAGATATATCCTGAAATCATACATTTAGCTTGGCAAAAATCTAACAGAAACTAATAAATTATAAGCCTGAATGCCGAAATACTTATTCATCTACATCTTACTATGTTAAATTTATAATAAATTATCACATATATTTTTCCCTAAAATTAAGATGCTTTTATTGCTACTATAGCTTTCACTACATTCCACATCATCCATATTTACACATTTTTGCATTCTCCTTTATCTTTCACAACAAAGATAAAAGGTTTCAGACAGCCCAAATCAGGTTTATTCTTATGTTCACAAGATCAAAGGGAGCAGATATAAGGTTTAGGCCACAGAGAAATTAAAAAACAAAACCAAACAAACAAAAAAACCCCCAACAAACTTAACCCCCCCCTTAAATTCTGTATAAAAACTTCTAAGGAAATACTTCTCATTTCCCTTTATCCAGTTCCTATTTTTCGTTAGTAACATGGCTTTAGTGAACAAAGGTATTCAAATTACTGACTTCCTCAAGGATGAACTGTGTTGTTATAGCACAAGCACAGAAAAAGATTTCTTTTCTGAAAGGAGAAAACATAGTATTATGAGAAGCAAGATTTGAAGCATAAATATCTCTAGTGCTGTAATAAATTATTTCCTGACCTCCTTCATACAGAGCAGACCAGAAAAATAGAAGGGAGTGATGGTTTCCTGATATTTTAAATTCTAACAAAGCACAGATAAGCATTAAAAAAAAAAAAAAGTCCATTTTAATTATCCAGGTATTCACAATGTGAGTGATTCACAACAGACTACTGACAGCAAATTGGTATCAGGCTATTTTGTTTTGGTCATAATTAATATGAACACAAGCATAACAAGAAGAATTCTGAAAGGAGGCAGGGCAAGACAGGATACACTAGTAGAAAGCCAATATGAATTACTGTAAGCTAAATCATTGTCTTTCAAATTATTCTTATGATTGTATGGAGAACAGTGATTTAGCCAGTGTATTAGTATATTCCTATCTATCATGATACTACAGGTTCAACCTAAGGAAGTTTTAATAATGTCAGGAGTACATACCCATTATCCTGTAAGTCAGTTGCAGTCCTGCACTGGAAATTTTTTTTCCCAAATAAGGTTTTATATATTTTAATATTTCACCAAGGTATTCTAAGGACTTTGTGACCATGGCAGATTTATCAGAAAGGTTCTGCAGATTCCCGTAAGTAATACCAACAGCCTGTAAAAAAAAAAAAAGGAAAAACATGATTTAGATTTCCAAGTTTTACACAATACTGACTTTGAGAAGTAAAAAAAATTTCTCTCCCCACACACACCCCTTACATTCTTAAGTGTACATCCTTACCTTTCCAATGTTCACAGCAATTAAAAAATGCCAGTGGAAAGAATTGTCTTGCCTTTTGTAATTAAAATAAAAGGTTAAAAGAATAAAAAAATCAATGGAACCAATATAAGAAGTTTTATCAAATCATGTCAAGCTTTCCAAATATCCTAGTATACAACTGGCAATTACAATTCCCAAATTCCTATAAGGAAAACCTACAAGCAAGGTTACAAATTCTTACATGAAAGACCTCTATGATGTTCAGTTCTGTGATATGAATTGATTTTTTTCCCCCAGAATTTTCTTTATAAGCCATTAATTAGATTCTAGCTTAACTTTCTCAGAGGAAAAATGATGAGGTGCAATGGGCACAGATGGCAAAATGGTGAGAAAATTGGGTGGTAGGGAGAAATGTGAGGTGAGGCAGTGAGAGAAGGTAAAATGGGAAGAACAAAGGAAATAAAAGAAAGAATAAGTTGAGGAAAAGTGAGAATAAGCAAGAGGTAAGCAGTCACAAAAAGAATCAAGAGCAGACTGGCTAGAGATGGGTTGGGAGGTTTCAGAAGAGAAGCAAAGTTTTCAAACCATTCATTACTGGGGACTGACTTACAGTGGATTTCAATGACCTAAATTGGACATAATAGTACCAATATACATAGTTATGTGATTTTGCTCCTGCAGCTCTCAGCAGATAAGACAAAGAAGAGAAAAGCAAGTGGTGGCACCAATCCAAGGTTGAAGGTTTGTAGGCAGAACCAAAAGAACCAAGATGGAAGACTGGAGGGATGATGTTGTAAGAGTAGAGCTGCAGTGAGGCCCCCTAAGGGGTCTAATTACGGTGGAGAGAAGAAGTAAGGGAAGGGAAGAAGTAAGACCTTGGAGAGGATGTTGCACTTGGAGAAAAGGAAGTGGAAGGTCATGTGAGGTCACTTGGAGAACTGGAGGCACAGGTGGTGATAGTCAAAGAGCTCTCAGATAATCCACGTGACGCCATAGGTTCATTTAGGTTTAGTCATGGGAGTGGGTCAATGAAGTAGAGCAGGAGTGAAGATCACCAGAAGACTTGTGGAGGAGCTTTGAAATGAGGGATTAGGATAAGTTATTCAAGGCGATATTAAAGTTAAGTCATGTTGATAATAAAATGTAGAATGGAGGAAAAGATAAGGAATCTATGACCTGGAATGACTATGAGGTGGATGACGAAAATAGCAACAAAAGAGAGACTTGAATCTTTTTTTCGATTTAGCTTTCTGCCCTTGGCTCTCTATTTCTTTTTCTAGACCAGAAGTTCTCAAACTTCTCAGTTCCCTTTTATCCTCGTAAAAGCCGAGGATCTTAAGGTGCTTATTATTATTTGGGTTATATCTACTCATATTTACCATATAAAATGAAAAGAGAACACTTAAATTATTTATTAGCTCATTTAAAAATAATAAGCATTATATATATGTTAACAGAGTAAAATCTTTTTACAGAAAACAGCTTTATTTTCCAAAACAAAAAAAAATTAGTGATAATTTTTACATTTTTGCAAATCTCTTTAATGTCTGGCTGAATAGAAGACAGCTAGATTCTCATATCTCTTTCTGCATAAAATCTGTTGCAATATGTTGCAGATGAAAACAATTCAATCTCACACATATATGTAACCGGAAGAGAAAGTATTTTAGTAGATTTTTCAGATAATTCATTCCTCTGATATCCCCTTTCAGGGAATTCCTCTCTGATATTACACCAAAACTTGACAAGTGGTATTTCTTAAAGGTTAACTGTATTATGGAATTCAGAACCATGTCAACGAATATTCTGTACTCTGCTACATTAAAAGCCACTGATCTATTTTGCTCTTTGAATGACTGTTAAATACCCATGCATGCTTTTAAAAAGCCCCTTTGGTTATCTGGAAAATTCTGGCTCACTGAGTTATAAAACTTCCCAATGTGGACACATTTCATTATTCATTTAAAAAAGTTCTATTTGTTAATACTACCACCAGTGTCATCAGGAAAGTCTTTAAGTATCATGACGCTCTCAAGCTCATAATGGCAAATACAAGTTTTCCAAAATTCTAATTTTCTTAAAAGTTCAAATTATGTCATTACCAACAAAAACTGTCAGTTCTTTTTTTTTTTTTTTTGAAGTGATACTCATTTCATACATTTCTGAGAAAATGTCTGCCAAATACCAAAGTCTGAATAACCATACTTTGTTAGTTTTTCTTTCAAGATAAAAGCAGTCAGGTCAGCTTGTAACTCAAATTACCAAACAAGTGCTGTTTATTTATAGACAGCCACCTTGCTTTATATGCAGCAGACATGCTTTAAGTACACTTCCCATTGTCATTCACAGGGTGTTAAAGGATGTACTTAAGGGTCAAAATTCAGTAAAATTAATAATTTTACTACTTCATTAAGGAAATTCTTAAATGAAACTGGATTCTTTTTTTTTTCCTGTGATTGCACGGCAGCGAAAATGATGACCGCCAATATAATCTTGGGCCATCGTATTGATTTGTGCTAAAGTTTCTGCACTATTTGTGCAAATGTCAATACACTTTTGAGCTTGTAAAATTCCTGGAAAGGTATCAGTAACCCCCAGAGGTCTATGAAACACACTTTTGAGATCTACACACTGTTCTAGAGCTCAGTATTTCTTTTGTGGTTAGCCTTCATTTCCTTACACTGTAAGACATGTATTTCTCAGACTATCTCAGGGACTTCTCCGATGTCATTACTGACACGTCATACTATCATTTCTGTGCAGGAAAGAGTTAACACAATAGGCCTAGACTTGCTATCTTTAAAAAGGTCTACTTGTAAGTCTGGCCCTTGGCTGGCGAGTGGGGCCTCCGGTTTTTCCCCACCATTTCCTGGTAAGAATGGCTCACTGAGCCTAAACTATTTGGGGAAACAATGTAGTTTATGCTGAGTATCTGTCTCCATTCTGGGGGTCTGGCATTTTCAAAGAGCTACATGACCAGTCCCCATTAAAAACCGCAGGCACTGGGACACTAATAAGTTTTCCTGGGAAACAGCACTGCAGATGTGTTGTCACAATCCCACCCTGGAAGAATTAAGCATGCCCAGTGCAGCTCCTAGGAGAAGACCACTGGAATCCGTACCTGGTGCCTCCAGACTTCACCCCATGTACCTTTTTTCTTTGCTGACTGTGCTGTCGATTCTTTCACTCTAATAAGGGATAGTTGTGAGTAAAATTATATGCTGAGTTCTGAGTCCTCCCAGCAAATCATATAGCACTTGGGAATGATCTTGGTGACTCATCATACAATCTCAAACTAAACCAGTTTAAAATTGGACTCCTCACCTACGTCTCCCTCACCCTAAATCATGATGCTCCTATTTCTCCTTAGGGTATCGTTCTTCTGGTTAAACACAGTGTTTATCTCAGATCCCTTCAAAAATCCCATAATTCAATTTTCAGTTTCTTCTAAATCTAACTAGTTTCTGGCCAACAGTTCTTCTGCACCTTTAATCTACCGTTACTAATTTTCTTAAAAAGTCATTTGATCAAATCAGACCTACTTAAAAATTTATAAAAACTTCATACTGTTCACAGGAGAAAATCCAAACTTCTTAAGACCAAGATGCTCTGAATTATTAACCTACTGAATGATCTAACAACTAACTGGCACTTAGCATACACTGTCTTATTATTTTAACCTTTGTGTTTATCTTGTATTCTCAGACAAGTAAAAAGTTCTCGAAGATCAAGGACCACTTCTTCTGGTTTCTCAAATCCCTAAGAAATCCTAGCATAATACTATCTAGCATTTAGCAAACAACTATCATTTACTGTGTGGTGAAAGAACAATTAATTCAGACTGGCTTAAATTAGTAGAGTCTCTGAAACTATTAGTGAAATAAAGGACTTCTACCTCCCTTTCTGGTCCAGTATGGTTCCCAGCGTTAAGTGTTTAAGTACAGGTTAAGATTCAATCAATACTAAATAAAAGGCTAAATAAATGTCTGTTTTATAGCTGCATAAACAATTACTAAATATTTTTAGGATTTATATGATATCACTAATCGTCATACGACTGTACTTTTAACTTAATGTAAACCAATGGAAGAATTCACATTTATGGAAAGAGCTTATAGGTTGTATTTTTTTCATTGACATTAATACCAAACACTCTGAGGGAAAATAAACCAACTTTTATTGTGAATAGCTTACAAAAACACTAATCTAAACATGTTAACAACTTCAACAAGGCTGTAAAGCAAAGAATACCACATAACAGAAATTCTTGCAAAATTAATATTTAAAAGTCAAATGTTGAAAGGGGACTATTTATTATGGAGACAAAACTAAACAAATGGATTGGATTTTAAAGCCCCAACCATAATGATATGAAGCAGTTGGTGCTTATGCTAAATACAATAAAATTTTACTGTAAAATTTACTGTTTGCTACAGGGTGGTAAACATTAAGTTGGAACTATTATGGGATCATGTACAAGGCAATCTAGTTCCCAAGTATCTGGAGAATATTGCTATCTAGCAGTTTTAGCAGTAAGATATTTCTACAACTGACAGAAGCCTTAGTGTGAGGGTATTATGTAGCATTTTTTTTTTTTTTAAGATTTTATTTATTTTCTTAGCGAGAGAAAGTGAGCATGAGCATGGGGGGTAGGGAAAGGGAGAGAAAGAATCTCAAGCAGACTCTGTGCTGAGAGCGGAGCCTGATGTGGGGCTCAATCTCACCACCCTGAGATCATGACCTGAGCTGAAATCACGAGCCGGACACTTAATGGACTGAGCCACCCAGGTGCCCCTATTACGTAGCATTCTTTAGTCATTATTTTTCATTAAATGTAATTCTTCTGGCTGTCCTTAAGAGTGAATTGTACTAAATCACATTTTTATTCCTCCAGAATTTTATAATAGCAGGCAAACAATAATGATTCAATTTAAAATAATTCATTCTATAGAAAAACTTCATAAACACTTCAAGTTTTTGTGAAAAAATAATTATAACTGATTTGGACAATTATACTAATAAATGAAAAATACCTCAAAAAATAGAACAAGTGCTTTTGTAGGGTCTTCTGGACTGGATAAATATTCAACTTGAGCCTTTGAGAAAATATTCTTTATTTCTGAGAGTTTAAATAGCAACCTTGTCAGTTCAGCCAACTGTTCCAAGTACTCTTTTTCTGTTGAGATAAAAACAACATAATAATATTTATGTTTTATTATATACATTTATATTACACATATATATAGATGAGAGTAGGGAATGCAGCATTCATTTATAACATCCTTTTTTTAAAAAAATTCAAATTTCCACATAATTGAAAACTTTCAATTAAGTCTCTAAGGAAAGGTTTTATTTAAAACCAAACAAACATATACTTATGAATGTCCTACCCCAAAAGTTTACTCATGTAAAGCTAAATGATGCAATAAGATATCAAAGTAAATTTGGAGGATTTTTTTCGGTCCAGCCTTTGTGTGATTTATAAATGGCCATAAAGAACAGCTTTATGAAAGGCATGCCCTATAGACAACCAAAACTGTATGGATATTTTAAAAATAAAGTACAAGTATCATTTTGTGACTAATAATGTAGAGCAGGAGATAAAATATCTAATATAAAATGGGAGAGAATTATTCATAATTGGATACTTTTTAAGGTGTTAACAGTGTGATATTTGGTTATTTACTTTATAGTTTACTTTTTTTGTGTGATCAGTTTCTTCAAGGTACAAAAATAGCTTGTCACTGGAGAGCAAGTTTTTGTTCCTGGCTTCCAAGGAAACAAGTTCTTTTATCTTTATAGGAGAGAAATTTGTCATATATGGTAACAGGAAAATATCAAGAAAAAAAAAACAGGCTGAAAAAGGAAATAAGTTATTATTTATACATATTACAAACATTTTATATAATATTACAAATATATTTTGTATCTTTTTCTTTTAATTTATGTAACAAAACAGGAAATTTTAAACATACTTATATATCTAGAAAGCAAAATGCCTGAAATACTTACCAACTGCCTGTCCAGGATTTATATCAATGAACAAATCATCAGGCACATAGAGGTTGTTTATGTACATTTGCAAAACGCAACGAATCCATGATCTTACAGTTAAGGCTTGAAAAGATACACAGCCTGTATGAGAAAGTGCTTCACATAACATGCTGTAAAAATAAGTTGATGGATATTAATTAAACCAAAACCTGACAATAATGTTCCCTGAGTAGAGAGATTAAGAAATGAAGGAAAACATTCTAACATACCCCACTTATTAGCCTCCCTTATTTTACACACACATTAATGCAGATAGGCACTATTGAAATTAATACTACAGATACACCTAAAAAGAAATTTTACATAACTATTCTTGCTTTCATCTGTAATCTTCTAATTTTTATTTTTCCTCTTTCCACTGATGGCACACGTGTAGGGTTAAGCCAAGGGGAAGAAGGAAGAGAGAATAAGGTTAAAATGGGAAAATTGAGGAAGGGGCTAATAACTTGCAAGGTGAGATGATAATGAAGTGGAAAGTAGGAAAAAAAATAGTGGCCCTTAGAGTAAATAAAAAAAGAACAGAAGTCATGACCATTTATATAAGAAAAAGTTAAAGACAAAGTATATTTCTGTGTGAGTCTTCTAAACAATCCCATTCCCATTCCTTTCTTTCCTGCTACCCCACCCCATGGGCAGTCATTATTAAAGAATTCTAAAGTAACAACTGAAAATAAAATCTTTCTATGAAGCCAAAGGCCTGGCTAAATCTGGTATCTACCCATTTTATCATCGGGGGTTAGAAAGGACGAGGGTGGTCTTAGGCTAACTATAAAGTGCTAGGTAAAGTCAGAAATTTAAATAATACATATAAGTCATAACTCTAAAAATACTGTTTTGTGGAATGCCTGGGTGGCTCAGTAGGTTACATCTACCTTTGGCTCAGGTCATGATCTCAGGGTCCTGAGACTGAGTCCCACATCGGGTTCCCTGCTCTCCCTCTCCCTCTGTCCCTCCCCCACTTGTACGCTCTCATGTTCTCTCTCTCAAATAAATAAAATCTTAAAAAAAAAATTCTGTTTTGAAAAACTTTGAAAATAAGTTGCCACAAAGAGTACACAGTGTAGAACGCAGGTTCGTCATGTATTACCTATACAACCTTCCTAAAATTACTTAACATCTTTACGTCTCAGTTTCTTCAACTGTTATTATATACCAAATATTATTTTTTAAACTAAATAAGTTAGTTTCCGTAAAACAGTTTCAGCAACTAAACAAATAAATTAGTTTCAGCAGACAGTTTCAACAAAAGTATTTAATAAATACTAATAATGTTTGTTACTACAGAATTCTCAAGCTAGATGGGATTCTAAAAATAATCCAAATAAGGTTGAACTCCCTTACTTTTTCCCACTGAAAGCCAATGAGAAGTTGACTTAATATCTGCTTGGTGAGCTTGTCAATGAGAATACCTCACCGATTGCATCCCCCTTCTCACTGACTGGCAGCTTGGACAGGAGCTAGAGGGGTCTCTTGAGTATTCATTTTATTTTCCCTCATCTTGATATTCTTATTCAAATTTTCCTGATTACACTATTTCTGTTTTAATTTTATTTATTGTGTATTTTTTCTATTGGGGTTCCTCAGATCTGTTATGTAGCAGAGCAGGAGACATAGATAAGGAAACCAACGTTCAGGGCGATGAAATGTCTTGTTCATAATTGTACAAGAGACAGATCTTTAAAAATCTAACTGTGAAAGGAAAAGCTATCATTGAATCTAAAAATACCATAATATACTAGTATCTTATAGAATCAGCAATATTAATTGCATAACTTTGTTCACAAAGGTGAGTATAGAAAGGTCATTTCAGGATGGAATAAGGCAGTCCTACAAAAAAGTTTTGAAAAGGGTGCTTAAGCAGCAAGGTTTTTGTTTTGTTTTGTTTTGTTTTTTAAAGCAGGCTACTGCCACTGTCAAATGCTGATCTATCCAAAAGCAAAAAACCACCCAAGTGAGAGTAAATGTAGTAAGATCAGTTTTTATTTGTGAAGATTCTTACTTTCCTAATGTGCTGATCAATCATGAGTTTCTACTAACGTGCATACCTGATATCAGGTCACTTACCTATTTTGTAGGCAATGACTTAAATATCTTGCTACAACTTGGGGCCAGATGATATCATCCCAACCAAAAAGTTGCATCACTGATATAACTGGCTGAGGCTGAAGATCTGATGGAGCTGTGCTGGGCATGTCCATTGCAAGCAAAGTAAAATCTAGATTTAAAATGAAAGAAATTTATGGTGAAGAATTTTTAAAAAACGATTCCCCTTCCCCAAATTATATCAATAGTGATAAAAAGAATTCAGCCACTCAATAATAAAATGTTACATTTAGAAATGCAGAACTAACAAAAAACAAAAACTGAACTAAATTCACGATGCCAAAGAAATTTCTGTAGCGATCATCTAGATCTCCAAGAATGGGTCTAGAATTCTAGTGTTAATCATGATCAAATCTATAATGGCCTCCTCAAATTCCAAATTCTACACCCAATGTTTCTCTCATTCAAAAAACCATTTAAAAAAATGTTTCTAGCATCCATTCTCCAATCAAGCTAATGTACTTGCCACCTGCCACAGAGAAGACTTCAGTCTTACCTTAGACACTGGACAGTCGTCTATTAAAAGGCAACCTCCTATAATCAGTGGCACTCCACTTCCTTCAGAACCCACTAAGCCTAGGAACTAGAATTTCTTTGTTAACCACGTTAAACAAATATCGTTTATTTTGTGATTTCCTGGGAATTCCCAAACTTAATCTGTATTACATTAATTTATGTCTGTCAATAAATTGCTTATGAAGCACTGGTTCCTATGCAGCTCTCTCAAATGGTGGCTGTGAATTCTCCCACCCCTCTCCTACATTTGAGCTATAGATAGAGTTTGTTCCTTGGTCCCATGGCTGCTTCTAGAGCACTCTCCCTTTCCTCCTCCTCAAAACCTCCAGCTTTGACTCTCATGTCATCAGATACCAGCCACTAACTCCCCTGTTGCGTTGGCCTCGTGCTGCCTAGTTCACGTCCCCTCATTCCTCACTAACAACATCCTTTCTAGCAGCTCCTGTCATAATCCTTGACGGCTTTTCTTCTAATATCCTGGCTCTCAGTTCCTTGAACTCCCCTTCTTAATGAATCTATCTTCCATTCTATTTCAGCCATTCACTCCCATGCTGATACTGAGAGACTTTGCCATTACCGGTAAGTACGTTCTCTCTGTAATTTCCACTTCCAGGACCCCATTTTCTGGCTCCAGGTCCCCAACTCCCACCAACTATCTGATTTCACCAGGACCTACACAATTCATTGATCCTACAACTGTTCCCCTGTCCCTCGCTACCTTCACGCTTCATCTTTCCCTTTCTAGGCAGCTTGACTGCACGGTCCACTGTTATACTCGTTTGTGTATAGTGTCAACTCCCTTGCTTCTTACTTGATTCGTTGTGCTTGTCTGGAAAAAAGCATCTGTTTCATTCCAATTCTTGGTCTTCTCTCCACACGCACCTACGCCAGTATAAATGGCTGGCGAGCAACCTGGCTGACTGATCTCACTTTAGATTTATGACTACAAACTTTAAGTTGGCCAGCATTCCTGCCACATTACTCCAGTCCATTCAGATTTTTATTCTCCTGGAGGACTCCCGCATACCTTCTTTACTCTCCCCGTCATCAGCTAGCACCTCCTCCCCATCCTTACTTTCTGCTGATGGCCTTACTTACTACTTCTCAGAGAAATGAGAAACATCAGCAGAGAACTTCCACAAGATCCTGCCACATCTACCCAGACGCCTCTACCTGGGCCATATCCTCTGCCTTCTCTTCTGCTACTACAGATGATCTGAGGCCAAATCCTCTATGGGATCCCATTTCTCTTGGGCATTAAAACACAAGAGACTCTCTTGCATCATCAAGTTTTCCCTCACTCCAGAACATTCCTGTCAGGATTATAAATATGCTGAAATTTCTCCTGTGCTATTAAAAAAAAAAAAATCTCTTTGACCCCACACCTCCCTCTAGCTAATACCCCCCCATTTTCTACTTCTCTTAAATAGTGATAAAAAGATTTATCTACATTTCCCATCTGCAATTCATTTTCTCTTGAATCATCTTCAATCAGGCCTTTGCTTCTAGCACTATGCCAAAACTCCTTTCAACATTACCAATGACCTCCCTTCTTGCTATATCCAATGACCAATCTCGAGCCTCATCTTACTTGATCCATTAACAGCATTTGAGCAGTTGATGACTTTCCCCTTCCTTGAAATGTTCTGTCAGTTGATTTCCAGGGCACCACACCTGGTTTTCCTCTTGCTTCACTGGCATTCCTTTTTATCCTACAAATCTGGACATGGGAATATCCTGGAGCCCGGTCCTTAAACTTCTCTTTTCACCAACTTAATCAGCAATCCCATCCACTTCATAGCTTTACTATTTATACACAGTTTCCTAATTTAACCTCTTCCCTGAACCCTCCACTCATTATCCAAGTGCTTGCGCAACATTTTTTAGATTTTATTGGATATCTAAAAGAAAAAAAAGTCCAATATCAAAGTTCTAGTCTTCCCTCATAAAAATCTGCTCCTGCCACAATTTTCCTCATCTCGGCATATGGGGGATTCTCTCTTTATTCTGCTTACCATATCCTACTCACTTGGAAATTCTGTCAGCTCTATCTTCAAAATACTTTCTCTACCTTCAGATTGGAAATGGGACCACTTCTCACCACCCTGAGCTACCGAGTTGGCCCAAGCTGCTCATTTTTGAGTTGTTGCAGTCGTTCCCTAACTGGCCTCCTTACTGTCCATTCTCAGTCTCACAGCCAGAAGGATGCTCTTCACTCCTCTGCTCAAAACTCTTACAACAGCTTCTAACCTCGGAGTAAAAGCCAAAGTCTTTACAACTACACACAAGGCAGAATACAAGGTAGCTCTCTATTACCTTTTGATCATATCTCTTGACTATTCTCTCTCCCTTTCTTATGCCTCATGACCTTTCATGGCTTCCCTATGGTTCGGCAAACACACCAGACATGCTCTTGCCTGTGGACTTGTGCAGAGCCTAGGTCTCTCACTTCCTTCGTTTTTGCTTAAATGGTACTTACTGAGGCCTTCCTGACTATTTAAAATTACCATGGGCCACTGGCCCTCCCTATCCCTACCCTCTCTGATATATTTTTATTTTTCTCCATAGCACTTATCACCAGATATTACACATCTTGCTTACTTACTTACTTATTGTTCTTTCCCCCGCACTATACGCTCCATAAGAACATGTAACTTATATGTGAGAAAATAAATTGCAGTCCTTTTTCCCACTGGTATATCCATAATGGCAATAAAAGTGGGTGTTTGAGGCCTTTTTTAATGCAGGAAATTTTTATCTCCTAACCTATCAAGTCTTTATTTCAAAACAAACCCCAAACCCACACATATTTTACTTTATATGTATATACCATTTACTTTTAGCACCTAGGATAGCTGTGACTAAACTTGTGTGGTATCATTTTTGTTCTCTGAGAGTCAGGATGATGAATGGAAGAAAGATAAGTCATACTGGCTTCTAATGACTGCTTTGATTAAACTGATTGAATATCAATATTTATTTTCATAGACATTATAGTAGTTGGAAAACTGGTGTCCTGTCACAATTCTTCAATCTGTCATTGTAATGTTTTAATTATGGAAATGCTAGCAGAATTCAAGATCTTTCACAATTTATATCATTCAGTCTTTTATGTAGTGCTTTTAGCTCAGCTTTCCATCATTCACACCAGGGTAAAACAAACCTTGGTTTAGATCTTAGGTTTTAAAAAGCATTACATTCAAATACATTACACACTTTTTTTTAAAAAGACTTTATTTATTTGAGAGAGAGAGAGCAAGAGAGCACAAGCAAGGGGAGCAAGAGAAGCAGATTCCCCGCTCAGCCCGGAGCCCGATATGGGGCTAGATCCCAGGACCCAGGGATCATGACTGAGCCAAAAACAGATGCTTAACTGAGCCACCCAGGTGCCCCTCAAAATGTATTATATACTTTTCCACAAACTGCAATTAAATACATGTAGTTATACTGATTTCTATCGAGTGCTTCTGCACATATTTTAGCTAAAATATCCCTTTAAGAAACATAATGATCTCTTCTTAGAAAACTGTATATGTGCTCATATATTCAAATTCTTGCCTATGACATCATGTGATTCAGATTCCCTTAAAGCCTACGGACATGACCTTAGGCTAAGAGTCAAATTCATGAAAAATTACAACCCAAAATAGAATCTAGTAGAAGTCAAACAACATTCTACATATTCGATGTTTATTCTGATCTCATCTGGGGCTTGGTGTGAAGTGGAATTCACACTCAAGTTCTTTTGTTCTTCATACAAGTAGCTTCATCTTCTACCTAGACACCTTCACACACAATGTGAATATAAAGTCCTTGAACTAGAAGAAATCAAATGCTACTTTGCTTTCCAAATGTTGTGTGCATAAGGAAAGTTTATGTACATTCAGTATTTTTAAGATTGAAAGTTGTATTTTGTTTTTAGCAAACAAAAACTTAATTTTTACCTCTACTAAGCAGAAAATAATCAACAAGCCAAAGGAACTTAATTTAACATATGTAATTCTTTTCATCTTTCTGGTTGTCCAAGTATTTATTAGACTGTAATGAAAGAGTTTGTTACCAAGCAAACAGAAGAAAAAATTGACAGAGTCTGCACAATGAGAAGCTAATTAGCCAGTTAACAACACTGACCTGCAGCTGCATCCGCAAGTTCTGAGAGAGGCACTATCTGTGACATTCTCTGACTCTTCAAAAATGAAAAGAAATGTCTCCACAGTGCATTGGCAACTGCAGCAAGGTGGCGCTCTTTAGCCGATAATGAAGACTGCACAATTAGGTCCATACTCTCCTTTTGAAGTTCCTGACACAATTGTTGATGCATACTCCTAAAAAGAAATAAAAATATAGCTAACACCCAATAAATGCTTATAAAAATCTTCTTTAAATACATTTTGGGCTTTTAACATTTATATCATAGGAAAACTGAAGGACCGTTTTATATAATTAAAACCTTTATGCCAAGACATTATGCATTTCTGGTTATTTGATGGATGAATGATGGCATATTAAGCACCATAAAGTTAATGTTAATTACTAATGTCAACCATTAATTATATGCTTTTTAATATGTCAGATCCAAATGAGAAACAGGCAGCTTCAGAATGAAGGTCTGCATTTTGCAACTCATTATGACAAGTGATTTTACTTACAATCTAGACATGAAAACAATTTTTTAAACCATTATCTTCCGAGAGCTTTGAGGACATGGATGTACCAAGCAGAAAGTAAGTACATCTAGCTTGCTCATGTGTAGCATTTTAAACTGAAATATTTTCCTACATATCACTCTGCCAGATATAATCTTGGTACTTTGGTCTAAAAAGATCCATAATCATTTTCACATAGCAGACAATAAAAAGTTATTGTTCTTTATAAAATAGTAAAACATGAATTCAATACTGCCTAAAATTTTGATTCAAGGTTTACTTACGTATTTGCTTAATTCAAATGAAAATTTAGACATTTCTTGCAAATCAAAACTATAATGAGGTATCATAGAACTACCATATGATGATCCAGCAATTGTACTACTGGATATTTACCCAAAGAATACAAGAACACTAATTCAAAGGGAAACATGCTATGTTTACAGCAGCGTTATTTACAATAGCCAAGATATGGAAGCAGCCCAAGTGTCCATTGACGGATGAATGGATAAAGAAGATATATACACACGCATGCAAACACAAGGGAATATTATTGGCCATATACAATATACAATGGAATATTATTTGGCCATAAAAAAGAATGAAATCTTGCCATTTGCAATGATATGGGTGGGGCTAGAGTATAATGCTAAGCAAAATAAGTCAGGGAAAGAAACATGATTTCACTTATATGTGGAATTTAAGAAACAAAACAAGGAAAAAAATAGACAAATCAAGAAACAGACTCTTAATTATAGAGAACTGAAGGAGGGAGAAGGGTTAAACTGGTAATAGGGATTAAGGAGTACACTTGTGATGAGTACAGGGAGATGTATGGAAGTGCTGAATCACTATTTTATACCTGAAATTGATATAACACTGTATGTTAATTAACTGTAATTAAAATAAAAACTTAAAAAAGAGAAAATTTAGACATTTCTAGATCTTAACAGAAATATAGGAGGGGAAGGAAACACTAAGAGATTTTTTTAGTGATCTGGAATAGGAGGTGTTTTTGCAATATGCCCAACCATTAATAATTTGATTACTTAAAACTAAATGTACAACCATAATATTATTCCTGTTTTTATTACTGTCACATCAATTGTGAGTAGATACAAATGCATGGACACCATCCTAAGATAGATTTGTTTTCTTTCAATTAAAGACAAAGCAGTGAAAACCGTAGAGCTGAGGCAGAGACTTCCTCTGATAGTATTCTACTAAGAAAATAATTAGTACTAAAAAAAGAAATATTACATTAATTCTAACATTCCTGATGTTTTAAATTAATTTAGCTAGGGGAAGTGGATACTCAAAATACCTGTAACAAAATACAGAACTTAGTACATGTACCTAAAGCAATTCCACCGAAAGATCAAACTGGATCCAAGACCACATAAGTAAGTAAAAATTGTAAGTTATATAACATGAGGATACTGTGCCCCTTGACACTGGAATTCTTGGATAATCATGAGGCACTACTTCCTACTCCTTGAGGTATTGGAAAAAAAAAAAGTATACAAATGCCTGGGGAAAAAGATCATAGCAAGCAATTCTCATAAAAGCTAACCAAATATCTGCTATATCCTCTCTTGTAAAAACCTGCCTGAGATGCTTTCAACTTGAACTAGTGGCCAGAGAACCATTTCAGGTCCTTTAGCTTCGAGTAAATTGAATATCAAACCACTAAAATCCATTTGGCACCTAACTTAACTGCCTACATCAACACAGAAAATTCATGACCACACGTCAACACGCTGGAGTCCAAGTAAAATAGTACCACTGTTGGCACAACCTACTTATAGCTTTTCTAAAGTGTACTGGTTTCAAAGAATAATAAATACCTTACTGTATTTGGGTAGGATGAATTGTGCTCACTATTTACACATAAATAATCCATTTTTTCACTAACTAAAACCTATTCCCTAGGGGGGGATATAATTTTTGATCATCTTCTTTGAGCTAGAAATTCTTTAATTAAAGAGAACAATTCTATGAGATAGGTATCAGTAGTCCTCTTTATAGATGATGGAGATGATAGTGAGAAAGTTAAATATATCCAAAGGTCACATGGCTAGGAAGGGCTGGACCCATAATCTGAACTTAAAACTGACTCTGAAGCCCATACTTTCCTCTTACACACAAAGATGCACATTTGTCTTAGAAATTTCAATAAGCCTAAGAAACGGAGCTAGAAAAGCCACATGTAGCTTTGCCTTGTGAAGAGGCAGGGGCAACACCAGAATTCTATACTGGCAAAAACTGTAAGCGATACCAAGAAAAATGTATTCAAGGTAATACTGAAAAAGGCCAACAAATCTGAATCACTTTTGACCTCTCCAGAGCAAAACGCTGAGGTACCAGGGTGTACAACTAGGAGTTACTACAGGAATCTGACTCAGAGGTCTGAAAAAAACCAAACCACTAGGTTAAAAGGTTAAATTTAGAGATTACATCCTCCAAAGCGAGACTTAACACAGCAAAAAGAAGTTCCAATTAAGTGTTAAGACATTGACCCAAAATCAGAATTGTTTTGGAAATGTGCATCCACTTTGCATTTTAGTGTATGTGCTGCTGGAAGCGAGCACTCCACTTTGCATTTTGGTTCGAAAGAAGCTTTATATCCTGGGAATATGCAAAACACTTTCTGCTTGATGGTTTGAATGTTCAAGCAATATCAGTTTGAATGAGAATGATAATCTGCTATTTTACCACAAAACAAAGTTGTTTAAGACCTTATAATAATCATTTATGTAAACTTGAACAAATCAGAGAGGGACAGATGCAGGAAATGTCCAGGATATACTGTACTATGAGTCTGAGGGGAGAATCCAATTTCTGCACTATAGCCAAAATAGCTGGAACTACCCTACCGCTTGCAGTCACAGGTGATTTTTTTTTTAAATTACATTTTCTGGATGAGAAAACTAACTACAAAAGACTACAGAAAAATAAATTTGTTATATTATGTGACTGCATATCTGATGAAGGCACATTTACAGAAATGCAAATATCTACAGCAGTTCTGTCACCACAGGTAACATAAATAAAACCCAAAACGTATATGAAATACATAAAGAATATGACACATTCTAGATGTCATGGCTATTTTATGAAATATTTTCTACCTTCTTCAAAAAACAGTAGAAAAATCTGAAAGTAAATTTACTGCACAGAAAGTAAAATGTAATTTCGGGTCAAAGCCAAAAAGAAATATCACAATAGTTATAGAACCTCCCAACACTTGGCAAATATTTTGAGTAAAGACAAACTTAATATGGGTTAAAATCATTTTGGAAATTCACACATGTGGAAACAGACATGCATAACCATCCCACTTACATTCTAAAAGATGCAATATAGTATAGTAGAAAATAAAATTTGCTGAATGTTAAATTATTCAAATTGTAGCTCTCATAGAAAAAACAGCAACGCCTAGCGCTCATTGGTATTTACCATGTGCCAAGCACCATGTTAAATGTTTTATAAGCATTATTTCTTACGAGTTAGGTACAGTTATGATTATAATCTTAAAATGGGGAAATTAAGACAAAAGAAGTAACATGTTGGGTAACACAGCTGGTTATTAGCAAAGCTACTCAGAGCAGTGTAACCTTGAAAAAAGTGAGTAACCTCCCAATTTTTATTTTCTTAAGAGCAAAGAAGAGGAACAATCATTTGCTATATCCATGGTTAGGTTTATTGTGAAGACCACATGAAATAACATCCCTGAAAATGTTTAGAAACCTGACACTGCACCAAGTAAATACCCAAAGTTTACCTACCTAGTTACCAGCTCCTCTTAGGCTTTTATTTTAGCTCTGGTATCCTGCCCCCTTTGGCTTACTCCTCATTATGTTCAAACACTTTCCTGATTCTTGCATCTGACTATTCTTTTGCCCCATTTTCCGAGATCTGCTTTCCTGTTTTTATCTTTCCACTTTTTCTTGCTATGATTACACATATTCAATTATCCATCGAAGCCCCCAGAGCCCCGTCCCTACGCAGTCATGCAAATATACTGAGGCATCTATCACCTGAGAGGCACTGAGGCCTGCACCTGACCGCCGCCACCTGCCAGCCTAGTTTCTGTAGCACACGGCTTCCTAACAGTGTAGGCAGGCTTCTGCGGCTACTTCCTGGACTACTCTGTCTAGGTTCTACTTCTAATCTCCCTTTGCTCCAGTTTCTACTGTAATTGATAATTACAGAACAAGATATGACCTCCTGTACATTACTTTCCTAGTAGTCACTGTTGCATATGTAGTATTTCTAATATTATTATGCCTCAAAAGTTAAAGAAAATTTGTCCAGTGATGGACCTGTGACCACAGAAAAAGCATAATATAATAAATGCAACTGATAAGAGCTAACAGCAAGGAATTAACAATGATTAATAGCTGAATTCCTTTTTTAGTTCTACTCCAAACCTGGCAAACTTCCTTCAATCAGTATTAGTGAAAAATAAAATGGTAAGTTCTAAGTTAAAGAGTTGTTTCTAAACCACTACAGATAATTATTCCAAGTATCTGATTTAACTAATAGAAAACTGGATGGGAATCAGATTACTCTATGACCATTTTTAGTTTCAGCTAAACTCCCTAAAAAACCTTAGGCATTTTGGATCCTCTTGTCATTCTTGATCCCCTCTAAAAAATAGGGCTCTAATCTGCTTT